ATACAAAACACAGCTACTGAAAGAGGCCATGCTTTTGTGAATGTGCACATCTTGCTTTATTTCCAGCTAAAGAGAAAACTACATTTATCCCCTTCAGACTTAGACTATTAGAAATGTAGTTAAATAAGAAGGAAAGCTCATTCTTACTCTGTATGGCTCAATGATGAAGCCAAACATGGAATTGTCTTTGTCAATCACATCTGAGAGGTTTCAAGAAATGCAGTTTTGTGATGCACTTAAGAGTCCCCCAGACACTGACACAATGTGCATAACACAAATGCATAGGAAATGGGTGTACAACCAGTGACAGAGATCCTTCCCAGTGCTGCTCTACAGAACATACTGCAGATGTATCTCTTTCACTCCAAGATGTTCCTCCCACTTGAGATGAAAGGCAACTCAGCAAATAAAAGCTTAAACCCTCTCAGATAGCTAGAAATGTTGATTCATAGTAGGAGACTGAATCTGTTGTAGAGAATACTTCCAGCCCAAGAGGATTATGACAATATCACTCCAGTGTATATTTGCAAACTAATAAATTTTAAAATTAGCTTCATCAGAAGTTTGTTAAGGGTCACAGTACCATAAGTCTATAGTCTCAAATGTATGGATTTCTACTGAGAAATGTTTGTTGTAATTACAAACAACTGCATTTTCCAATAAGCACAGACAGTTATAAATGCCATAGTTTAAGGGAACACAGCAGCCAAACACAACATGCTGATGATCAGTCAGTCAATACTACTACATTTTTATAGCATAAACATTTAAAAAAGGTTCATGATCATTACTTATATTTGATAGTATATTACCTTTTTCCTTTCCTCCATATGTATTTGCTGAGACGATGACACAAGAAAGCAACAAAAACGAAAGAAGTTGCAAACTTTTCATTTTTTCTTTCTCTGAATGAGAGTTCTGCCAAATTCTGCCAAGAGATGGGAAAAGGACAAAATTAGCAGTGCTTTGCAAGAAATTCTTTGCCCATTAATCATTAACCCTGAACTCTCCTGTTCCCTAGCCCGGATTTGCCTTTTATGGAAGTGAAAATGGAATTTGCCTGTTTTCAGTCTCTTCATTTTCGTGTTATGCCACCTGTGGCAGAAAGAATTTGGAACTGGATCCTCCTGCCTGCACAGCAGTGCTCAGCTCTGAGCACGGGGACTTGAGGGCATGAGTTCTGTGAAATACTGGTAAAGGCTGTGGGTAGCCAGCTCAAATTCAGTTGGTCAACAGCTCAGTCTGAACATATTGTAAAATAATGGTAAGAGCTGAGGGTTAATCGAAATATTTCATTAACATAGACAAATCCCAGCAAGGGAAGCATCAAAATTTTATATGCATGAAATACTTTTCTTATTTCATTAGTAAAACTGGTATCAGATTTTGGATAATTGTTAATTATCCAAAATTGTTATTTTGATAATTGGTAATTGTTAGTTTGAAACACTCAACAGTGTTTCAAATTAAGTGAACATATTTTAACACATACAAAATTTACTAATAAAGCACAATTAACCAATGTATCTCTCCACTTCCACTAAAAGAATCATGAGAGAATGCACGTAGTGAATGTAGGAGTCAGTTCAGAGAAAAGGTGTCCATTAATACAGTGTGATTTGTACTGGAAATCAGAACAGAATTTTAATTGTAGCATTGTGTGTATATGCCACAAGGAATAGAGGTGTAGTGCAAAGTGTGAGAGGACCAAAATTACTCTTGAATAGGCAGCAACTATTACACTAAGTTGGGTCTCACACATGAGCAGGACACAGTGGTGTCCTCTGGGCCACCTTAGCATCAGTCTGAAGCATCCAAGTTTTCCCCCATCAGTTCTTGAGACATACTTTAGCACATTTTAAAGGAATGAAGTGCCAATTATGATGTAGCCATGGCAGCACAGGCCTTAGGATAGGCTGCAAATCAACCTGCATTTCTACTAGTTATGAATAAGGGAGAAAAGTGCAGATCACTCCCTTTCCTTGCTCACTCCAAGGAGCTTTGAGTCTAGGATGCAGCAGACAGCTACAAAACCCTACAAACAATCTCTAAGGTCACACCAGTCACCAGAGCTGGCAGTGGTCTTGGCACACAAACACCTGAAGCATTGTCGAGACTGATTGATCAGTATGTGTGTCTGAAAGTACATTAAAAAAAGAAGAACTACAGAAAATGAGGTGATAGGATCAAAATTACTCTTGATAAATGATAAATACTCTTTGCAGCAGCATTTTCAGTGAGTGAGAAAAGAAGACAGGAGATAGAACTTGGACAAGAAGAAAGAACAAGACAAGAATTTAGGCTGTGATGATGGACAGGAAATGCTGTATTTTAGCAAAGTTAACACTAGTGGAAATTACTGGTGTGATTTAGCACAGCCTTGCAGTGAACTTAGAAAAATGTTAGCTGAAGATGATGTGAAGATGACAGATCTGAGTGACAGGTTGAATGGTGATATAGCCACAGTAATCAAGACCATTTGGGGGAGCAAGATTGCAAGCTCTATTTTCTGCAGACAGGAATTGTTCTGAAACCAGGTGGTAGATCTGTTAGGGACAGAACAGGCTGTTGGATCTTTGTGAAGAGATTGCCTGAAAATAAAGACTATAGGAATCAGTCTTTGGATTTACTTCCCACTATAGCACCTGTGTAGGAAACCAGAAGCATTATGAGCATCTTATGAAGGATTGCTTAAAGTGGTAAGAGGAAAACTGGGAAAAGAAGGAGGAGGAACCTGCCTTCTTTTGGCAGGTTTTCACTTTCTTTGGCAATTCTGCTTCAGCCACTGCCAATATTTATTTGTCTTTTCAGTGTTCACAAAGTATCACCGATAATGGTGACGGCCCTAAGCGGTGTTGTGGGAATAATTGTACAGCATTTGAACGAGAGGTTTCACAGAGCATATTCAGGATGAGTTTATGTAGCACGAAATTGCATGTTATGGCACATTAGTCCACAGAGAGCAGATGTGATGGTGTTCCAGAGGAAGGAGCTGCTCCCAATGGCCTCTACAGCATTGTCACACAATGTGTTTTTGGAATGTGGGGCTGGGTTTTCTTTTCTTCTCCATTTGATTTACATGAGTAAATCCAATTGCCTTTATTATCTACTCATAAAGAAAAGAATGGGTCTCCTGCAATGTAGTGAACATTAGAGGTAGGAAACTCCCAACAAATAATTTTCCTGTGAATCCAAATATTGAAATTAGAACCTTTGCTGTTTTCAACTTGTTTATCTGGTCACTTGATAACTACTTTGCTTGATCTGTTCTCTCAGATGGGTTAATTGCTGTTTCTATTGTTATTGCATATATAAAATTCTATGAATATATAACCTAAATTGTTTTAGGAATTAGTTCTTGATGTAGAAAGTATAACAAGAAAGAGTCTTTGGTACATTATGAGAATAGAAAGAGCGGAGACAGGTATTTATCAGAAGGGACTGTGCAGTAGCTACTCAGTTACTGGCAGCACGTTGCATCACATACCCAAATGGCTTTTTTCCAGCCACATTTGGATCTGCATGAGGTGCAGTGAATGGGAGCCGCAATATTCTGGGTGGAAATCACTGCGGAAAACAGAGAATCCTCTGGAAAAAAGAGGATGCTCTGGGTCTTCTTATTAGTCAATCATGGAGGATGCTGAGTGAAACTGGATGTATCTGAGACACTAATAGTTGTCTGCTGGTCTGCTGGGGCCATATGAACTGTAAGACTGCTCTGCTGCAGTCACTGGCAGTGACAAAATTTACAGCAGCTGAATAAACACAGGCACTAGAAAATCAGGGAACAGAAATCTCAGGGACTATAAAGAAAGCTGTGTGGTTGATGGAGGAAAATGACACCTGGAATATGCAAGCTACACTGTGTCCTGATGTTACTGTCAAGAGTGAGTGTAAAGTTTATTCTTTAGAATTGAATATGTTTGTTACTCGTGCTCTGGATAAGGCAAATGGATAATTTGGTATTTGCAAAAACCTTGATTCTTAAAAAATATCTGAAATTAAGTTCTTAAATGTAAGGTTTAATATGGTTATGGCTATGGTTAAATAAGTTAGCCTTAAAACGTAAAGGATCCATTTAAAAAAAGGAGCTATTCTGTAGATACGAACTCTCTTTCCCATAACAACCAGCATTTGCACATTACTTCATTGCCTGCATTGAAATCACTCATATCAACTGTAGTGATCTGCATTCTAAATTTAGAAATACAGAATCCAAACTGCTCTTCTGTGAAACAGATAAAATGCCTGTTTAGTATTGCACGGAGGCCAGTGCTTTGCCTGCTTTATAGGAAATGCTATTTTTTCTTAAACACAGTGTCCTAAGGCCAATTTCTAGCTTATGCTGGTGTGTTTATATCTAGTCTGCATGTCCTGTAAGAGAGCTTGATAACCTTCTCTCTTCTGCTGAGATGCTGCTTGTACAATATATACCCAGGAGGTAAACCCTCAATCACAATCCCCATCTGCTTCTTGGCTAATGTTCCAATTATAGTTAGACCTCTTGCACATATTCACATCTGAAATAAAATTGATGGTTTCACTATTGAGAAGCAGCATGTGACTAATGATGCATTGTACCATGCAAGTTTTTGCTTAAATGTTTCTTTCTAATCAAGTTAAATAAAGGAACACAGGGCAGAAATTTGTCAGGCGTACAGTCCTGCTTTTTCCCTGAGACCACACCGTTCATCAAGATGGTTTTCAATCACCTGAAGACCAATAATACTGTAGTACAAGATGTTCTTTCAGGTTTAGAAGATATTTTATGGGCCAGAACTTCAGCTAGCATAAATTGGCTTCTGTGCAGCTCTAATGATTTTCACCAGCTGAGGATCCACCCTGTGTTCCTATAATAAGCTGCTAGCATTTGAAAAAAGATTCATGTGATGGTGATGCTAATACATCTGAGGTTATAGAGCAAGAAAATTTTTATGTGGTTGAATTTTTAATGCAGTTTTTAAATCCAGAATTTATTCTGCCCGTTTTATCTTTCCTAGGATTTTTAAATATCAAATAACTCCGAAGAGACAGTTTTAGATGCAGTTTTGTGTGTGGATTCATGGCCTGTGTCAAACATACAGCAGCTGCATGTGAGTCTGAAACTTCCTTTACAGCAACAGCTATTGAGCCATCAGACTTTTCAGTATTAAATTCACAAGTAAATAATTGATCAGCAGATTTTGTTTTCTGATATGAAAGAAAACCACTCATTTGCATGAGCATAGTTTTGTGAAATAGGAGTTTCTCCTGCAAGATGCATTTCACGCTCTGTAGCTCCTGATTAAGGTAGTCTTCTTCCATGACTCATCACCCAGAATACTATCTCACTTTCTTTGGGTGCACATTTGGGACTAGCCAATGCATTCTTGCAATTTTAAGTTTCGTTTCAAGTTTAGCACATTTTGTATATTTGTACCTTTTAATAATTTTTTAAATATGCTACACTGAGTAGTTCTTATTATAAACAGCTCTAAACAAAGAAGAGAACCCAAATACAACTGCCAAGCATAAATATAGTTGTACAGTAAGTGGGTCATCTGCTCCTACTTCCAACTTTAAAAAAAGGCGTTTTCTAGTTTGTTTACTTCAATGTTAGCTGAGTGCTTTTTGCAACAATGCATTACTTGTTTAGTTGCCTTAGAGGAATGCTGCTTCTTGGCTTGTGTGTTTGTCTTTCTCATGGGTACACTGTGTTCTCTTGGGGTATGTCTCTGAAAGCTTGACAAATCAGAAAAGTACAGATTAGACAAACCAAATAAAAGGGGAGAACAAATCCCAACACATCTGGACTGTCCATGCTCTCCAATTATGTGTAGAATATTGTGTGCTTGCTATTACCCCTGCCTTAAAATAGGTGAGGAGCTGACCTACTCCCTGCCTTTCATTACAATTCTATTCTTCAGCAGCCAGGGCTGAACTTCTGCATGGTTATGCACTACTGGAAAGTCTGCAGCTGCAGACTTTATATCCACCTGTTTTCTCAGTTTTATTTTGGATTTTTGCTGTTGTCAGTGCCCTGTTTCAGGGGTGACTATACAGCCTGTAAAATTTTGCATTGAATTGATCATTGTTAAAGCAGCTTTCTCATAGAGCTGTGGCATGTAGGAAAGCTTCCATCAATCAGCACTGTGCTGTCAATAGATGTAATTGTGAAGAACAGATGTGCTTTTGGAAAGCCCAGCCTGCCTGCTGAGGACATTTCCCTTATTGGTCTGTGTAAGAAACAGCTCAACACCTGCAATAAAACTCACTGGCAGACTGAGACCCAGCCCAACCTCCTCCCTCCCCCTTGAGGACTGAGCTTGATGGTTTTAAGCAAAACCAACACAAGAGCAATGCTTTTTGAAGCTGCCTTGCTTGCTCACCTCCCTCACATCAAAGAGAAGCATATCTGAAACAGGTGAATCCATAGTAAAACCAACAGTGTTCTCTCCCTTCCCTTTCTAGCCTCTGTATTCAGATATTGATTGATGGTTCTTCTTGATAAAGAAGGCAGCAAGGACAAGACAAGTAGGACTTCTTGCAAGTAACATATTTGAAGAGGATACACACGAAAGCACTTAAACAAAAGGCAGAGAATTGTGCCGAGTAAAGGAACTTGAAAGACAATAAACATTCAAGTGCTGATTGATGATGACTCTTAAAGCCTAACATGCTCACAGGAGCAAAACCTGCATCCCCATGGAGCTGCTGTCACTGAAATTGAGTCTTTATGAAAAAGGAAGAGCAAACAGACAAGAAAGCTGAAAGAGGAAGAATAGGATTAATGTGTACAGAGTAGATTTGGGAGGAGCAGAGTGTTTCAGGCGCTTAATTCTCGACCCCAAACATTTTGCTTGTTCTAGGGCCTGACACAGCTCTTGCTCGTCCTAGCAGAACTTAGATGTTGGATTGGGTAGACTCTTGGATCCGATATATTGTGGCAGATCCTACATTTCTACAAGATTAGACAAGATTATAGGATAGAAAATTAGCTTACTTAAGGAATGATACTTAATACTTTAAGCATCAGTTAGGATAAACATGCATTTAAAATCTTCTCCGAACTTTCTGAAAATCTGGTCTGAAAAACTGCTTGAAAATGTTCCAAATTGGTAAAAGAATTGTTGACTTTGTTCACACAAATAGAAATGAATGTAGCCTATTAGAAAGAATTTAAATGCTTGTGTCTCTGTTAGTTCTGGAACTGCAAATCTTTGATGTCTGGATAAACCATAGGATAATTGATTGTGTACATTGGTATTCCGAAGTCCATAGTTGTTGAAATGATTCACAGAAAGAAATCAGTCAGTATTAGATTTGAAGTGACCATGACCATGAATTCAAACAATTTCTTGGTATTGTCCTGTAAATACTGATGTTCCACAACTGAAATGGGAAGAGCTTTTAAATACTGCATTTAGCACAGATGTTTCCTGTTATAACAGATTAGTAAAATTTCAGTATTCAATAGGCTTTTAACACCCACCCTCCATCTGTGGTATTCATTTTCAGCATTGTGGAATAGGCCAAAAAAGCAGGCATATAATTAAAAAGAAACCCCATCAGGGTGTTTTCTCTAGCTCCACTTTCTTTTTTTTCCCTGTGTTCCTTCATTTGTGTGTGGAAACATTTTATGGGTGGCAACATGGGTAAGACAAAGCTAGTTCTCCATCTGGGAGTCACACTTACTGCAGACAAGTGCACTGCAAACAAGCCCTTGAGCATATGCTGCATCCATAAGTGCTAATTGAGAAAGTCTGATTACGTCAGTTGAGTAAGAATAATATATTCTTTGCCAAATGACCAGTTTGTGCTTGTGGCTTTTAAGTAGCTGTGGTTCACCAAAGTGCTTGAGAAGTGCCTTTACTTTGAAGAGGAAGCTGAGCAAAGGGCTGAAAGCAAGCGGTGCTGAGGGACTGCAAGGTCAATAACCAAGAGAGCTGCCACAGGCACAACTCAAACAAAATGATGGTAAAACTCCTCTTTTAGTAACTTGCTTGGGATATAAAGGCAGAGAAGGAAACAAGCAGAGCAATGTCTCTGACCATAACACACTTTGCAAACACATACAAAATTTACTGTGTAAACCTACTTCTCGAGTTTCTTTCATGCATGTTTATTCAGGGTTGAATGTCAGCCTTCATTTCTCAGTCACATCCATACAGGTGTCAGATATATGACGTTAAAGACCTGCGATATGGGGATTACTCACATTTTTACTTTTGTTCTCTTTTCTTCTATATTTCATTGTAAATTTTCACCAGAAAAGTCCATAATGCCTTTTGAGACAGAACAACAATATCCAGTACAATATTAAAGGGGTACAGTGTCCTATAAAGTGACTTGAGTGCTCAGGAACCTTCTTGAACGTAAGAGAGATACTTAAAAGCTTGGCCTACTTAGTTATTTAAAAGATTTTTAAAGCCCTGGTCAAGAATTACAAGTACTAAGATGAGAAGTATATTTTTGATGCTACAATTGCACATTTTTATGATGAGGGGAATCCCAGGATATCTTTATGAATTACATAGACAGTGAGATCAGCAAGGGCACTGCTGAGATTCAGTTCTGTCTTTCTTTTTGCATCTTTATCAGTTGATAATTCCCTCCCTTATTCTTTACTTCCTCCCTGACACTGGTAAGCCATGGTTTGACTCGCCTGACCGTGGGGCTTTCAAGCAAACTGTATGTGTCTCCTACTTACTGCACTATTGTTTACTGTTTAAAGAAGTTCCCTTGGAAAACAATGTACACATATTGTGGAACGGTTTTTTTGTAAAAACCCCCCCAAGGCAGATGTATTTAATGGCAGCATTAGTGTAGTTTACAGATTGGAAAGCAAACAAAGCCAAGAGAAGTAGCCTTTTTTTTCTCAAGCTGTTTTTTCTGAGCAGTTTTGGTGCCTGTTAAGAAACGACTTCACACAATTCCACAATCAACCTGTAAGCAGTAACATCATATCTAGTGTTTAAAATGTGAGTTTAGGAACCAGGTGTTTGGATCTGGTTTCTTTCTATGGCTCTAATTTCCTGTCGTTAACTCATGGGTAAGTCACTCTGCTTTCTGCTGGTTCAGGTGTCCCATTAGATAAAGGCAGCAGAATAGTACTTATTTTTCCAGAGTGTGGTGAGGCTCTGTAAATGACACTGTATTTTCTGAAGGTGTTACATAAGTCAAAGTAATAATGTTGTATCTAATTGAATCCTTCAATCTAACAGATGGGAGCAAAGCTTAAGAAAAATGTTGAACTTTTCCCCCCCCCTTGCATATTTCTGCTATTTTTATGTCTCAGAAGTATTTTTGAAATGAATATCTCTTCAATGAACATAAATGTTAACAGAATACATTTTCACACGCAGGGTTATGTTCCCACATCAAAACTTTAACCTCAAATATGTTGTGTTTAGGCCATACAGGGCAGTTTTTAAGAGCAGGGAAGCAAACAGGGCTTCTGACTTGGGAACATGATACTTGTCTTTTCCAAAACCTTATCATGTGATGTCTTATTTGTTGAATGACTTGCAGGGCAAAGCACAGGCGTCAGTCTTATGAATTTTCAAGGTGACTAAGAGGTTTATGGTGGTTGAAGAATAGGTCAGCAGACTAAACCACATTTACTATGGAGAAGAGCAGCACCACTGAGAAAGCCTCATCCGTGGGATGCAAACCTTTCTAAGTCCGTACTTGTTGTGGCACATGGACCCGTTCTTCTTTATCTGCATGTATTTCTTCACTCTGTGCTGAGGCACAAAACCATGAAACCCAGGGCAGCCACTGCTGGCTTGCAGTGCCTTCCCACCACCCTTAGGAAGAGCACAGAAGCAGCAGCTGCCTTTTCCCTGGAGATTTAATAGCTCAGTCTCCTGCTGTGTACTCCTTGCTCTTCTGTGTTCTAATTATAACTTCAAAATTATTATTTGTTCTTAATTTCCAAATTCCATTTGGCATCTTGTACTGGAATTTCCTGCAGAGGAAGAATTCAGACTATCGGGTAGAAACCTTTCTTGTCATGTTCCCTCACAGATGGTCCAATCTGCTCTGCAGCCCGTGCCTGACAGCCGGTTCATCTGGCAGTGCAGGAACACACAGTTAAAAATGCAGGTTCTGGAATCAGCCTCAGGTAAGCACCTCAACTGTGTTTGTACCCTAAAATTGAAGAATTCGGTCCCTGCCCTCCTTAAAAATGTCAATTATAGTGTTTTTCAGCTACAAGGTATATTGTGGGAGATAACTCTCTAAAATGTAGATGTAACTAGAAATGTTTGCGTGGTTGCAATACACTGACGATGTTTTCCAACTTACACCCCTGGCTCAGGGCAATTTCCTGAAGGTGACTGAGAAAATCAAGCCCATTCATGGTAGATCTGAATTTATTACTCATGGACTTTCACCTCCTCTAGAAAAAAAAAAGAGAGGTAAGTCGAAAGATGAAAAAATTTTGCACTAAAAAAATACATTTTCAAAACTTTGGCAAAGGATTGGATAAATGCTTTATACTATATATTTGTTAGGTCTAATTCTGCACTCTATCTGATTAAACCATTTTGTCCAATATACTGTTTCTGAAATTTTACTGAATTACATGTAAATGGTTCTTGTAATGGGCTCTGGGAATCTCATAATGCAAAACAGAATAAGAATGCAAAATATGTTGTGGGGTTTTTGTGTTACTGCCAAATTACGGAAATGCACAATTTATTATAAATGCAGTAATTTCACTTTGATACAGAAGGTCTAATAAAGATGTGCTTTTGCTCAGGACCTTGAATCTTAGGTCAGAAGCATATTTGGAGAGCAACTTGTAATTAAAATTTGGGGTTTTTTTCTTTATATAACTACAGCGCCATTTTAATCCTCTTAATTATTTTAGAAAAAGTTATTGTGTTTCTGACAACCATGTTCTGTATTGAAAAAATATGTGTTCCAGTCTCTTTGTTCCAGATTAGTGAAATTACTATGTGAAATTCTACAAAAGTTATTACAATTTAAAGACATCAGTTTTTTGTTAATGCAAAAGAGATAAAACTGAATTCCATTTGCTCTGAAATGACAGTCTCCAAATGGCACCAAACAAATTCCTCAAAATGTTACCCCTGCCTGTCCATTCTGTATAGTATTTGTCAGGAGATAAGTTAACACAAAAATTTCAAATAAGTGATTTACTCATACTTAAAGGCTGAGTAGAACATTTAATGTCACATTTTCCACTCCTTTTTGCTACAGAAATAAGAAATTCGAATAAAGAAATAAGAATGTGATTATATTTTTATAGGTCATATATAATGTAAATTTTGAAATGGGTGAAGAAGTTTGCCATAATTCTTTTTAGTGAAAAAAAAAGCCTGCATAAAAGCTTTTACAACTGTCCCTAGGGATCCCAGGGAGGTGGTAATAATTTTTGTTATAAATTAATCTTAGAAAATTTCACCGTAGTAAAAATCATGAACATTTAAAGAAATAATGCAACTTTAGGAACAGTTCTGAGATATTTCAACTAGCATAACCTAAGGTCCAACTTTCAAAGAAACTGTATATTCCTGATTTTGTCTTCTAATTCCTCTCCTCTGAAAATAATCTATTTCAAAATAAGCGAAGGTTTTGCAATAGGTAGTTTTTACAAGAATCACTCACTAAGAGGGGGTTTAAGATCATGCATAAACATATACCATAAAATCACGGAATGGTGTGAGTTGGAAGGGCCCTTAAAGACCATCTTGTTCCACTGCCCTGCCATGGGAGTGGCACCTCCACTAGCCCAGGTTGCTCAGAGCCTCCTCCAGCCTGGCCTTGAACACTTCCAGGGATGGGGCAGCCACCCTGTGCCAGGGCCTCACCCCCCTCACAGCCAAGAATTTCTCCCTAATGTCTAATTTAAATCTTCCCTCTCTCAGTTTAAAGCCATTCCCCCTTGTACCATCCCTCCATGCCCTTGTCCATGCAAAGTCCCTCTCCACCTCTCTTTGTAGCCCTCTTTGGATACCAGAAGGTGCTCTAATGTCTCCTTGGAGCCTTTTCTCCAGGCAGAACAGCCCTGGCTCTCTCAGCCTGTTGTCATAGGAGAGGTGCTTCAGCCTCTGATCATATTTGTGACCATCCTCTGCACTGGCTCCAGCAGGTCCATGCCCTTGTTATGCTGGGGGTCCCCGAGCTGGGCACAGCACTGCAGGTCTCTCACAAGAGTGGGGCAGAGGGGTAGAACCCCTCCCTCGACCTGCTGGTCACACTTCTTGTGACACAGCCCAGTACACAATTGACTCTCTGGGCTGCAAACACACTGCATTTGGCCCGTATCCAGCCTCTCATCCACCAACACCCCTCAAGTCCTTCTCCCCAGGGCTGCTCTCACCCTATTCTCCATTCAGCCTGTATTTGTTCTTGGGATTGCCCGGGCTCGGGTGCAGGACCTTGCACTTGGCCTTGCTGACCTTTGTGAGGTTTGCACAAGCTCACCTCTCACTGTTGTCAGGGTCCCTCTGGATGATATCCCTTCCCTCCAGTTTTACTTTTCCATTTAGACTTAGGCAGAGTTGGTCTAAATTAAAGAACTGGTGTATTTTCCAGATTATTTTTGATTTAGCT